CGCGCCCCTAAAACAATTGCCATAAGAAGTAGGGACCAGTCATACTCGTTTGGATACTTACAACAGAAAAACATCGACACAGCTTCATTTTTTTTTCTCCACCAGACCATTGTACTAGGCGTATTTTAAATCATTTCGATGGAAGCATACTTGCAATAGCATCCTTCTTTCCAAATACACTTCATCCAAGACCGAGCCAAAACTATACCTTCACAAAGAGAGGAAGGGAAGCTAAGACTCCGGCTGTAACCTTCTGCAAATCGGCCAAATAGGAATGAGAACAATGGTTCTTCTTCGTGAGTTCGTTTGTGTAAAAAGAAGCAGTGACATTGTAACGGTCATTTAGAGAAGGGGAAAAGTAAGCAGACAGACAAAAAGCGAGTAGGATCTACCTGTGACGCCCTACAACCACCCACGACTGTTCTTCAAAAATTGCTGACGCACAATGTATAAATAGTAGCGCATTGTTTTCCCACTAAAGTAATCATCGGAATTTCCACGCCAGTCGAAAGCATGTTTGGCTGACCAATCGAGTGGGAGAACGCCACGCAACAAGAAGACAAGGCAGTCGATAACGTGCTCAGAAAGGTCAAGAACCCCAATACATCACAAGGGGTGGGCGGGAAGGATGGGGGAGGAGGGAGAGAGAAAGGAGTGTGCACACGTGACGAAAGATGACGACAACTCGCTAACTTGCTGATGCGATCGAGTAGGAGCAAAGACCACTGAACGATAACTGCCTATGACACCGCCTTTCGTTGCGTAAGGGGCAATAGTAAAGAAAGGCATGTAGGCCGCGCTGTTCCTTTGTCCCTCCTCTGTACAGCTAACTGGGAACAAGGACGGCCGATGCATTTTTACATATTTTTTCTTGTTCGAAAGAGAAGCACATCTACACAATTAAGGTCATTCAGTGCTGGGAATAAGTTAGTAAGACAGACTGAAACAACAGAGGAAAAGTAAAAAGTAGGACCTACCAGTGGCGCCCTCCAACCACCCACATTTTTACTTTCACTCTCGCACACAGACACGCTACTTTTTTCTCTTTTTTTTCTTTTTTTTTTGGGGGGGGGGGGTGTCAAAAGGCATGGCCACTAAAACTGCCGCTAATCATTTACTGCCAAGAAAATGTTTAATCTAATTTCAAAACATCAAATTATGGGGATACACGGGGGGGGGGGGGGGGGGGGGGTTACCTCCCAAGAAACCCTACACATTTTATAATTCTTTTTTTAACTTCGGGGCCCAGTGTCGCGAAAAATTATCTTCGTAACTAACAAGGGAAGGATTTATAACAGCTACCCAGAATGTCGCGTACATCAAGTAGTGTTCCTGATACGCGTATTGGGTCAAGTGGGGGATGTTAAATTTACTGTTGCCGCGTAAGCTACACCAAAGCTCCTCCTCCTCCTCCTCCTCCTCCTCCTCCTCCTGCTGCTGTTGCTGCTGCTACTACTACTGCTGCTGCTACTACTACTGCTGCTGCTACTACTACTACTACTACTACTACTACTACTAGAAAATCTTTGACAACACTGACAGGAACAGACTGTGACAACGTTAACAACGTAAAAGAAAACGAAGACCAGCTGCAGACCACTCAGGAGCGTCCATCAGCTGCCCATGGGAGATTCAAAGATGGGACAGCAGGAAAACGAAGAACTACATGAAATCAATCCCATAATAGAAAGAGACAGACAAACAAAAAGAAGCTCCGATGGCAAAGAACAACATGAGCAGTGTTACAACCACAATCGCACGTCGCGGCCGACGACAGAGAAACAGAAAACAGTACAGCAGTTCTGGTAAACTGTCATGTTAAACAAAATATACGCCACCCCATCCCCAAGCCACCCAACTAGAACCCCCCCCCCCCCCCCCCCCAAAAAAAAACAAAAAAAAAACTCATACAAAAAGCAAACAGACCACTATCTGCATAACCCACTGTTGCTCGAGCGAGAACAATGAAAAGAAAAACGGGGCATTCCACTTCGACGTAAAGTACAGGACTTGGACGTGTGTGTGACAGAAGAGGGCGTGAGATGAGGCCAGGAAAATTACTTGTACGTTACAATACTCCCAACGTAGACCACATAATTAACAGACAGACACGTGCAATCTATAAAATAACGATTCTGTATGTAAATTAGTGGCAACAAAGGTTCCACTGAAACAGCAGCAGAAAACAAGGTGCTTTTAAGAGATGCAGACACACCTTGAAACAAAAAAATCTTTGCAAGGATGGGGTATCCTAGCGGGTAGGTCTGTTTGTGAGGGTGCAAGCCAGTGTGTGTGTGTGTGTGTGTGT